GGCGGCAGCGGATCCCAGCGCCGCCGCGAGCTGTGCGCCGCGGGCCAGTCGCTGGGCCTCTCTGAACCGCCGCGTCCTCGTGTAATCACAGCAGAGCCAGGCTCAGCTGGTTGCTCTGAGGATGAAAAGATGCTGTTTCTCTTTGTAACAGCCCCAAACTGAACTAACTATAAGACCATCAGCAGCAAATATGAATCTGGAAAAGAATTGTATGTTAAGCATCTATCCTGATGTATATACGTACGTACGGACCAGGGTCTATAATGTGTGTGTGTATATATATATATATATATTAACACACACACAAACACATAGATACATATGTGTATTTCTTTACATACATATATCTTTCTTATAATGCATATGTTTATATAGAGCTTTGAGAATTTACAAATCACCCACAAAATGAATAAATGCACACAATAAACTTGAACCAACCTCAGAAACATAACATTGAGGGGGGAAAATGCTGGCTCACAGGAGAACACACAGTGTGAATCCATTTATACTTTGAGTTCAAAAACAGGCAAAGCTGATGTCGAGTGTGAGAAGTCAGGAGAATGGTCACCTGGTGAGTGGTGACCTTAAGGGGGCCTGGGGTGGCCCTGGGGGCTGGCCTTGTTCTGTTTCTTAATCTGAGTGATGGTTACATGGTGTGTTTGCTTTGTGAGTATTCATGGAGCTGGATTCAGGATTTTTGCACTTTTTGGTACAATGTTTCAATATAAAATTTAAAAATATGATCAACTATTTAACGTCTAGGAAGTATGGATGAATAACCAATAAAATAAGCATCTTAGAGGTGGGACTGGGAGAGTTTAAGTCACAGCAGGGAACCCAGTCTGGGTCCCTCTGACATCAGACCCCATCCATGCCGGGACTGTTCTGCTTCTGGATTTGAAGGTGTGGTGAATGGAGGGCAACTCTTATATCTCCCTACACACACACACACACACACACACACACACACACACACACACACACACACACAGCTAGACACAGAGTCGGTTCATTGGGGAAAAAAACATCCTGGCTTGCTCTGTCTCCTACTTATGCCTAAGCTGCTAGCCCCATGTAAAATGCTTTACCTACTTACCCCCCACCCCCCAACATATACATAGTTCAAAATCCTGCCCATTATACTGTCCAAGTAAATAATGCATGTCTGCAGACTGGAATAGCATGCAGCCTTTAAAACCTGCTTCTTAGCACAGGGAACTGTATTCACTATCATGTAGTAACCTATAATGAAAAAGAATATATATGTGTGTGTGTGTATAACTGAATCACTATGCTGTACATCAGAGACTAACACAACATTGTAAATCGACTGTACTTCAACTGAAAAAAAACCTGCTTATGAGGGATCCCCAAGAGATGGTGGTTTGGGAAGAAAATTAAGGTGTAAACAATCTGTATGCTCTGCACCTAACTATGTCTTAAAATATCCATAGGCACACACATGTAATATGCATGTATTTATACAGGCCTAGAACTTTTTTGGAAGGATATACAAGAATCCACAAGAAGCCGTTTTCAAAGGTTGCCTCTGGAGAGAAGTACTAAGTTCTGAAGCCAAGGGAGATTTCTCCTTATTTACTGAACACTCTTTTCTCCTCATTACATGCTCTTTTGCATGGTTTATATATATATATATATATACACATTTTTTTTGCCATGAACACATTTTTTTCAATTTCAAGAAGACAATTAAAACATTTAAAAAAGTAGAAGTACTTATTAAGAATTATTAATGACAGTAAAAGCCCTTATGATATGTTGGTAAAAAATTTAAAAGGCAAGCTACAAAATGACAGATGCCTTCAACCGCCAAAGATCCTTGAACGTCCTTCCTGCCCATCTACTGCAGTGGCTGCAAACTCCATGCGCTGCTCCCAATACCCTGTAGGGGGCGTCAGGTCACTGAGAACAGGTCCCCACCAAGCACATCTGCCTGCGGGTACAACTGCCAGGACCAGCGGTTTTCAAACTACCTCCCAGGGGCCCCCAAGGGCTAAGACTGAGGGCCAGAGGATAAGGAAACAGTGACTAAATGGGGCTCAGGGAGGCGGGGTTGCGGGAGACAGCCAGGGGAGGGTGGGGTTCCTGGCCCCAACCAAGCTTCACCCAGAGAATTCACCTTTTTTGAGAAATAGAATATTGTGTTAGTTTCAGGTGATCAGCAAAGTGATTCAGTTATATATGTATTTTTTCAGATTATTTTTCATTATAGGTTATTACAAGATATTGTATATAATTTCCTATGCTATACAGTAAACCCTTGTTGCTGATCTAGTTTGTGTATAGTAGTTTGTACCCAGAAAATTCTTTTCTCCCTTATATAAATTATTTAATTTATGAAAAGTAAAAATGAATATAAAGCCAGTATTTGGTGGATAAGGAAACGAAGCC